GCCAATTATGGCGATTTCGTTCATAGACGGGTGAACGTTACCGGTTCTTGCAAGCTCCTTGAGGGAGAGTTTTGTAAAGCATGCTTCTGAAATTTTGCCGTCATGTTTGGCGATTCCATGGAAATAGTTGCTTGGCACTAAAACCTCTGAAAATTTTTCTGCAACGAATTCAGAGGTACTAACGTTTTTGTGAAAACTGGCTACCTATGCAGTTATCGCGATTGTGCCGATATAAGTCGCACTGGTCCTTGCAAGGGTCAACCGTCCGTTGGACAAAGTCCAACGCATGGCTCTCTAGCGTGTGAGAGTAATGCCGAGAGTGAACGTACGCACGGAGACACAGACGGCTCGCGCAAGGCGAGTGCGAATGCCGGCGCGGAGAGCGGTCAACCCTCGGCTGCAGGTGGGTGTGGGTCGCTAGGACACAAAACGAATTTTTTTTCACTTTTAGCTGAGCAAAAGTTTTTCGCTGCGGGAACCTCAGGTCCACCCTTTACCATTATTAGGGATAGACTTAAGGTTCCCGAATCGATAAACTTCCGGCTGTGCGGAAAGCGAAAAATTCGTTTCCTTTCCTAACGTCTCACACCTGGCAGGGTTGCTGGGGCTTGTGACTTGTATCACTGCACGCCACAAGCACCAATGTATGTCCACGGTCTAGAATGCGCTGTTTTCTGCGTCTCCCTATTTCTCTATGCTCTCTCGTCCCGAGTCTGTTTTCTCCACTTACGCTCAGTCCCATCGCGGTCCATTGCTTGCTGTCGAATCGTAGACTCGTCAGTACCTTTACAATGGTGGTCCTTACTTCATGGTCCTTTCCGCCGGCTTTCTTTCCTATTTCTCTAATGGCGGTCCACATAGCGCCTCTTACGTTCATCAGTGAACACAGGAATCTTACGTAGTTGGGCGCGGAACGAAGTTTTCAGGTAAGGAAGAAACCAAGAAAAATGGCCTTTGACTCACAGGCGATCTATAATTCTGATCGCCGATTTCTGACATGTACGAGTTTTCTGGGGGAAATCTTGGAGGTAGACGAGTAGAGAGAGGGAGGAGACGAGAGAGGCAGACACTGAAGCAGCGCCTCATGTCACAACTGACACGTCCATTCGGGAAGAGGAGGGTTCATCAGCTCCGCCCTACCCGTAACCCGATAACGTCGCCTATGACACTCCTTTTGTACCGCACGTCGTCTGCTTGGACAACTTGACGGTGTAGAATAGCGCCACATGCGCAGGCAAATGCTCTTGACCACTGCCTTTAAGGCTATAACGTAACAACATATCAACTGACGACTCACTATTTCACCGGTCAAAGCTGATTGCATGACTAGCGGCCCTGTGCATGCGAATGTCCTCAGCTCCTTGTCGTCCACCGCGCTTACTTTCTTGGCCTTTAATTTTGTTTGTGACTAAAAAAACAAAGGTTGGTTGGTTGTTGTTATTTTTTAGAAGTAAAAAAAGCCTACCTTGAACAATATCTCAGCATCCTTCCGCGACAGCATTTCGAGAGATGACTGAAATTTTACAAAGAAACCCTTTGTTGACAAAAAAGGGACCACTTCGTTATGCAAGCCGTTGCTATTTTACCTTCATGCACCTTTGAACTTTTCCAATAACGGGTAAGCTAGCGCTATCGCAAGATGCGGGGGCATTATGGTGGCAATGCGGGGCGGCTTATTGGTGTCAATGCGATTTGAAAACAGTGAAACCTTTTTCTTGAAAAACGGGACTACGCCTAGTGGGAAGGGAGAAACACTCCAGAGTGCGTAGGCAGTATTCATTTCCCTAAAGTTCTTTACCCCTCCTAGGCCCAGCCTAGGAAGATGCCCCGTATCTTGCTATAGCACCGATTGGTCAATCTCAGGATAAGTAAAACTTACACGGTTACTTGAAAAGCCTGATTTAGGTGCTGCCAGCTGTGACGACGGTCTCGCTTATACGTTTGCGTGTTTCTGAGAAAGGCGAAACTTGCCTTCTCCTTTAGCTACGTTGAAAAAGCTAACAGTTCACCTTGCAGTAACCTCTTTTTACGTTTTGCACCGGCACGAATGTACAGCATAAAGGCAATGAATACTGCGACAACAAGAATAATAACAATCGCCGCCATTTGTAGCCTAAACCAGTTTTTTTTCCACAAGTTTTGAATAAATCTGCAGAAACAGATTTCGCAATGTTTTCATTGCAGACGACAATAATTTTGCTTCCCGAACATGCTATTGCTATGTTTTCCTCATGCACCTATCGTGATCAAGTGCAGGTGGTGTAGCGGCAAGTGTTAACGCGGGCCGTTTTTTTGAATCACCACGAGGCGCAATCGCATAGACACGTGGGCAATGTGATGGCAAAGCATTTGAACCCGTCTCGAATCTCTTTCTTGTTGTCAGACCGCCGTCACACTCGGCGACAGACAAGCGATGGAGCGACGCGATCGTCTAATGAGTTCAAGCCCTAGGCAGATGGAGAAACTTCCGAGTTCACGCGCAAATTTAATCATCCCTGGGGATCCTGAAATCCCGTTCCTATAGGCTTATTGTTAGTCCTAGGAGGATGCTCCCATATTTTGCAACACCGCCTTGCCAGGGAAACTACAGTTCCACAGTAGCGGCAATTGAATGCGTTTTGGTCCATACATGGCCAACTTGCAACTAGTCAATGCATGCTATATAAGACGGGTAAAATGCTCCCACAAATGTGGCACCATTAGCGAAGTTGCCAAATGGAAGGCTTGACTGATCCGGGCCGGATATGATCGGGTATCGACCCACGCACAGTGCTGGCTTATCTCTGTTCAAGCTGCCGATTCCGCTTGCGAACCTTTTCGTCGAAGAATAATGAAAAAGTTTCCTGATAAGTTGATATTTACTGAATTGAACTAGCTTACGTCGTTTGATTCTCATCGGTTGACGTCTCTTCGGCTTCAAAATAGCTAAATAGTACTCAAGTTATCACAGCGCTCATTGATCACTGAGGCAGCGTCATATAGTTGGCGATTCGTAAATCCGCGACTAAATCCGGGCGATTGCCTCTACAAGGAAAGGGTCCGCTATAGGATTAGGCGGTCATACTGACGCGATTTAGGCGAGTAGGACGGATCGCCTCTCTAGTGGGCGTAGAACCAACTGATTGTCATGCAATTTTCGTTTTCTTGATCGCTGGCCACCCTATCGCCTTTATTCTCCTGACGCTGATCCTGCCGCTATTTAGCTATCTTCCAACTCTGAATGCTCAGGAGAGTGGATATGAATGCTTATTGCCGTCATTGCATAATAAAGAAAATCGTGGACAAGTGAAAGTAAAATAACGGCGACTAATAAAGAGTATCATTGTGTATTGTGCTAAACCGCCCTCGTTTGGACATGGGAATGCGCCCTAGGACCAAACTAGGACGGCTTTAGCACACAAAATGGAAGCATTGGGAGTCGCGGAATGGACCGACCCGGTAAGTAAAAAGGGAAAAAGCTCGTTCAGTTTAGGCTGGAATGCAAGCACAAAGAAGATGTTTGGGTCAGTTGGTTGCTCATCCCACCTATTACTTTGCCCTACAAAGAGGTAATCACTCTACTGAATAAATCATATCAAATCAGATAGATCATACTTTCCCCTATAGAGAGGAAATCTCTACTACAATGCGACGCCTCAACTTATTTCACCACGACCCCTTCGGAACTAGACTACGACTTACCACCTACAACTACACTATACAAAAACCTGAAACTATGACCGCTACCTTCCGACCCTCGACCGCCCCTACCAACTGATCCTTGTTCAGTGCTGTAGACCTTGCTTGTAGGTGTCCCTTGACCCAGCCGAAAATAAAAGCCAAAAGAACCGGTAAAAACATATTAGTCGGTGCAATTCATTCTGATAACTGAAGAACCACATAGCGAAGAAGCATTGTGAGCGGGGAGGAGAGAACAAACGACGAGAAGATGAGAGAGAGCATAGAGACAATGGAGCGTTGAGAGTTGACGATGGTTGCGTAGCGAGTAGGCGATAGAGGTGATGATTTGGAAAGAAAAGTAAACGCATCGATAATGGAGCGGTTCATAGTTGGCGATCGTACGTGCGATTAAGCGATTAGGCGATGATTCAAAAATAAAAGTATACGTATCGATTAGGCGACTTAGGCGAATAGGCGAGTAGGCGATAAGAGAAGGATGTGTATTGATTTGATGCTCCGCCCATCAAGCGATCGCCTTCTCGCCTACAACGTTCTACGGGCGGAGCAAACCAATCAATACGTATGTGGTGTTCTCGCCTAATCGCTGATCGCCTACTCGCCTACTCGCTAGTCGCGCCCATTAAGGGCGATGGGCGAATTGCGAGTACGCGCAAGTAGGCGATATGAAAAGACTATTCATTTGATTTGCGCTTCGTCTATTGAGCGATCGCCTAAAGGCCTACTCGCCTACAATTCTCTATGTGGCCGGAGCAATCCATCAATACTTATGCAGTCTCCCCGCCTGATCGCCTAATCTCATACGTCTATTTTTCAATTGTAGACTAATCGCCTAATCGCTTAATCGCGCGTACGACCGCCAACTTGAACGTTCATAGCGAAACGTAGCAAGCGTGATTTCACTTTTAAAGGCGGAAGTTCACAGTTGAGCGGTGGAGTCCCCATGGGCAACACAATCCTCTGCGGTCTATCTATGTATCCTTGTGCCGCCGAGGAGTGGTACAACATTTGGTCTGGGACCAGTCTACCCTGCTCAGGATTCTCTCCGTCCGCTAATCGTGGAATTTCCCTTTAAACTATGTTTGCCGACATGGCCAAGCGTGATTAGTCCTCAGATAGGAACACCGGGAGGTGATAGCCTTTGTATCCTGTCCGAATTGATGAGAAGGGCGAGATGGGAATTGCCTTGAATGGTTAGGGTTCCATTCTGGTATTACGAACCGTGCGGAATCAGCAGTGAAGCTTCAAGGACATTAACTGAGCCTTATATTCTTCAAAGAACACACCTTGGTACATTTGAAAGAATGGTAGAACTGTGTTGTATTGAACGAGTACTTGACGCCTGGGTGACGTTCCCTGATACAGGCAGCGCTGAAAGATCCTCATTTACCTGTGAAAGGTACGGATGACTTCAATGTGACTTAGAACTGGAGAAGAACTCACGCATGGCATCTGTTGGGGTGAGGCTCTCATTAGACATGAGCAAAAGGGACCATAATGTGCAATGGCAAACGAGTAAATGAACCTCCTTCTTCTGATACAACCACCATTTTTGATAGCCATTCCCTGATAACTTGTACCTCAAGTGCGATTTCACAAGCATTTCATGCGTTTCGACGGGGTTCTTGGTCGAAATCGCGCCTTTCTACCAATGTCTATGGCCTGTGATGAAAAATCTCAGCCATACGGGTTTGAAGTACCGTGAAGCGCCAATATTGGCTCTAGCTCTCCTGCACATCCAGATAAACCTACCTCGTGGTGAGCTCTGACAAGTGCCAACCGTTTGCAACTCATGAAGGGGCCGCCTCCGGCACGCCTTTGATCAGCTAACTTCAGCAATCTAACTGGTCTCTACACGCTCTGATTGCTGCACTAAATGACAACACTTCACACCTCACCCCTAATACTAGCGCAAAGAGAAGGGGAGGCCGCGAGGGTGGGTATAACATTCCTTAGAAAAAGCGGGCTATTTTACGGTGAGACTTGTAAAAAAGTATTGGCCGATCCCAAAAGCACTCACAGCCCTGCAAACATGGCTCCCTTTTCCACGCCACTTTTAAAATATGCAAATACGACTCTCTATAAAAAGTAATAAATATGAATCCCCGTCGGGAACCGGCCAAACGCACAGTTGACCCTGGTGCTCGTTGAACTTTCTGGGATGTGCCACACTACTACGACTTTCCTAAAATCGCGGAGGACTTTTCCTGTGAATTAGGTGTAGCCCATTACAATGAATGGGCGCCTCAAGTGAACATGGTTCTCACTGAAAGCTTGCCACCAAAGCGTCTTACAAGGAAAGTCCCTCGAGTCGCCATGGCCATTCGAGAAGAGATGTATACTCAGGTATGCGTCTTGGAACGCTGATCTCGAATCCGTCTCCCAAATCTGCTAAACGATCCGGAGAGAGAAGTTAGGGGGGTGGTTTCACCATGGAGGTCCAGTTCTTAATGCTACTCGACAACCAAAAGTACGTGCTTCGGTGGCGCAGCCGTTCCTCAAGGCTCCGTTCGGAGTTGCAGGAGCAGCACACAAGGTTCGGATCCTTGATGCATGTGTTGCTTTTGCATTTGTCTTAAAATATTTTTTAAACGTTTGCAAAACAGTTTCGTAGCCAACTTTGACCACTTTCAACCTCTATTATCCTTTTCTAAACTAGTTTCCTGAGGTTACTTCTACTGTGACTTATTCAACTATGACTTCGTTTTTAAAGCCAATTGTGAATATTTATTTCATGCATATTTTACAGTGATGCTTCAGAAACACCTGCTGAGCATATGTGATAATCTATCACAAAATGAGTGAAGCAGAAAAGCTTTTCACAGTGCGAACATCGGATAAAGAAAAACTCGCTGCATCCATCGCTCTCACACATTCCCTCCAGTTGGGATGAAAAACAGTATTGTACAGGGGTCTCAAATTCATTCGGAATTCATCCTGTATTTTGAACGCTGGGAGAGGTTATATGCGGCTCCGTAGGTAATCGAGCAAGAAAGGAGTTTCTATTTAGAAATCACCTCATGTAGGCAAGAGAAGGGTTGGAATAGTCAAAGTTGGCTACGAAACTGTTTTGCAAACGTTTAAAAAATATTTTAAGACAAATGCAAAAGCAACACATGCATCAAGGATCCGAACCTTGGTGCTGCTCCTGCAAGTCCGACAGCTTACCGGCTGCGCCACCGAAGCACGACTGCTTGGTTGTCGAGTAGCATTAAGAACTGGACCTCCATGGTGAAACCACCCCCCTAACTTCTCTCTCCGGATCGTTTAGCAGATTTGGGAGACGGATTCGAGATCAGCGTTCCAAGACGCATACCTGAGTATACATCTCTCTCTCGAATGGCCATGGCGTAATAACTTCGGCGACCGGGACTTTCCGGATCATCTCGGCAACCAGAGTGAGCATTCAGCGTTATGTAGAGCTGTTCTGGGAGCCTATCAAGCACACAAGCTATTACAGCCCTGCTTTCCTTATTTTTTGAAAAAGGCTAATATTATCATATATGAAAAAGGCTAATATTATCACTAGAAGCCTGTGCGTTTTCATCTGCACCCTCGCCTTTAGTTGGGACAGTCTTGTTAACAGCCACCAACCTCGGAATCTCAAAAGTTGCAAGCTTAGGCGTTGAATACTGAAATGCAGGCCGTGTAGCAGCTTCCGCGCCGCAGCTAGTCACCATTTCAGCACTCCTTTCTTTTGCACGAGACGATAATGAACAAGAGTACATCTGTAAAACAGCAGCCCACGACCAGACCCAAAAAGCCCTGAACAAAAAAGGATATGTGAGGAAAAGCTCCATTATTCACAATATGGTTAATAGAGGACATTTCAACCAATTCTCGGCCCTAACACATCCTGGGTGAAAAGATGAAAACAGAGAAAAGGAAAAAAGACGAAATGGATAACAAAAAAATGGGGAAAGCATTTCTGAATGTAACTAATGTATGCTATACAGAAGGACTTCCGGCCCAGGGTCAACCGTTACGTTGGACCGACGTTGGACCGACGTTGACCGCTCTCCGCGCCGGCATTCACTCTCGCCACCCGCGAGCCGTCTGTGTCTCCGTGCGTACGTTCACTCTCGGCATTACTCTCACACGCTCGTCGCGTTGGACTTTGTCCAACGGACGGTTGACCCTGTTTCCGCCTCTTCAGGAACGCCCTCTCGGACATTCAGGACATTCACTCTCGCCACGCGCGAGCCGTCTGTGCTCTCCGCGCGTACATTCACTCTCGACACTACTCTCACACAGTAGAGAGCATGGTCGAAGGATTTCCTCGACCGTTATTCACCCTATCTGGTTGCCACTAAACGCCATAACTTATGTGAATAACTGATATTTTGACGATAAAAATTCACCATGTTCCGGGATTTGCAATGGAAACCCACGATTGAACAGGCAACTGATGATGGAACGGTACCACTAATCAAGCTACTCTACAACTTTTTATAACTCATTTGACGCCGGTCACACGACACGTACTCTTTATTCGCTCTGAATATTACCTTCACATTATATGTATACATTTCCTATCGTCATCGCACCTTTTATACTTCTACACTTCTACGTAAACATAATATCACATTAAGAGACTATAAAACTACGCATCTGCGTTTCACAACCAGCGCATTTTAATATAAGGAATGAATGAAGACGGCTTGTGAATACTGTAATTGGGCTGAAGAAAGCTTATGAATGCCGTAGCCGTGCAGCCTCAACAATTATAACTGAGACATTTGGAGAGAATCAAGTGATAACAATTCTATGTTCAATCTTCAAGATTTCGGAACGCGGTCTGCATTGCTTCTAAGAGATCGTCATATTCCTTCTTGATCTTCTGTTCACCATCCTTCACGGGGTCCTGAAACGCAATCGATATTGGGAAATTACGTATAACAAACGATGTGAAGAAATGGCAACAAACCTTGAACTTCATTGACGAAAGCTGATACAGCAGGTCTCCCATATGATCTCTGATAATTGCCCATGTCACCTTGTTTTCCGACTGGGCTGTGGATTCAACAGCATGGCGAGCCAAATCATAGAATGCAATCCTTAATTACCGTTTTACTCTAACCAAATTTGTGAACTTGAATTAAAATTTCTGCTCATTTTGGTAAATTTCCTATTATATTTTGCTAAGACAAACATGTTTTTGAGCATGCCGACGGTTTTGTAGAAGGGACAGAATCGATCGTATGGAGTGTAACCGTTTTGCTGAAGGAAGTCGTCCTGTAACGTAAAAATATCACACTGACCATAACGATTTTTTGTGAGTAAGTCAAAACGAACCTTTATGAGCTTCGCAACCTCAAGAGTAATCTTGTCAGATTCAGCTAATGATGCCTTTCCTACCAATTGTACAATCTCAGATAGATCTTCTTCCTCCTACAACAAAAATAACAAGTTAGGAATGCTAATTAGCTAAAATCAGCGAATCAGAAAACCTGGAAAAGAATATCAAAAATATTGAGAAAAACCGAATACCTGAAGAATTTCCTTGCACTTCGTTCGCAGAGATATGAACTCTGGATGGTTTTTCTCATAGAAATCTTCCAAGGCACGCATGTATTTACTGAAAATGATTACATTAATGATCGAAAGGTGGAAAAGGGATAAGAATTCACAAAAAAAAAACAGGTGACAAGAAAGTAATAAATGTAAAAGTAGTAGAAAGTACCTGTATGAAATAAGCCAGTTGATAGAGGGGAAGTGTTTTCGCTGTGCAAGCTTCTTATCCAATCCCCAGAACACTTGTACGATACCAAGAGTGGCGGACGTGACGGGATCTGCGAAATCTCCACCAGGAGGCGACACACTGAAAGTGATATATTGGTTGTGTTGAAGATCGACATTTAAATTGACTTGGATGAATAGCTAGGATTTTGGGGTCTTTTGGACGCATATCTATTTCCCACAGCCCGTTCTCAAGCACCGATTCTTGGCGCCTTTGAAAAACTATCTTTACTGATCAGAAACTGGTAACAAAATGCAACCAGTGATGGCTACATGATGACAGTTCCTCTAATTATCAGGTTTTCCACCCCTAACGACATCTGTAAAGTCTCATTCCACTTCTTCTCTCCAAATAATTTCTCCCAGAGCCCGTGCGCAAAAACTGCATAGAAAATACGAGTTCTAACTATCTTTGCAAATGAAACAATACAAATCTTCGAGTATGCATTTCGACATGGTCCAACTTAACAACATGACTTACGCTCCGACGATTGTGACAGATCCTTCGCGTTCTGGATTTCCTAAGCATTTCACTTTACCAGCACGTTCATAGAACGAAGCAAGACGAGCGGCAAGGTACGCAGGATAACCAGAATCAGCAGGCATTTCACCCAAACGTCCTGTAAGCGACATTATGCATTTCCTTCAGTACTACAAACACAACAATTACGAAAATCAAAGAAAACTTGGGACTATTTCAACACAGATTAGAGTGATGCCATTCAGAACTGTACTCACCAGAAATTTCTCGAAGTGCTTCAGCCCATCGTGAAGTTGAGTCAGCCATCATGGCCACATTCAGACCCATATCACGGAAATATTCAGCCAGAGTAATTCCTGCAAGCGCACATCATTTGAATATGAAATCCCACTATGCCACATGCACCTTTTATTCCGCATTTTTACCAATCGACGGAAATGCCAATAATGGCACTTACTGCCATCATAACCACGAGTGATTCCTGTCCCCTCACCGGGAAAACCCAACCTTTTCTCCTCTATAGGGTTATTCAATTGTCAATCAGTATGCATAGGCGGATGGTACACTGAACTATGAACAGGATGACCCTGAAAGCCAGTGCACATTCCAAATCGTTTTCAAATATTTTTGCAATTCTATAAATGATTAGAATGTGGTACCCTCAAAAAGGACTATAACGCATATCGGATCCTTTTACCCTTCATTATCAAAACTTTGATTACTATTATCATTTCATTACCAGTGTAAATGGAAGCTTCTCGAGCAGCTACAGGCATATTCGATGTGTTAGCCACAAGTGCAGTACGTTTCATGATTGAAGTAGTCACTCCATCGACCTCCATAGTAAGCTCAGGGAAATCACGAAGTACCTTAAATAAGGATCTTAGGCAATCAAAGATGGTAAGCTCAGCAAGGAAATGTTTTGAGGTGTCATGCATGCATGCATGCAGCGTCTCCGACCAAGGAATTTAACAAACCTCAGACATTTCATTTCCGCGCTCACCACATCCCACATAAATGATGGCATCAGAGTTGGAGTATTTCGAAAGCGATTGGGAGATAACGGTTTTTCCACAACCGAAAGCTCCTTAAAAAAGCGTACTCATTCAAATTCACTTCTAGAAAGCCAAAACTTCCTCGTCAGAATGCCTTATGCTAAACGACAAACCTGGAATAGCGGTGGTTCCTCCTTGTACGCAAGGGAAAAGCGCATCAAGAACTCGTTGGCCGCACAACAGTGGATTGTTAGCAGCTAACTAAAGTGAAACGGATTCAAGATAGAATCAAGCCAATCAGCCAAACTGGTCAGACTTGTAACAGTAAGATACCTTCTCTGCACAAGGACGGGGAGTACGGACAGGCCAAATTTGAAGCATAGCGAACTTCTCCTTTTGCCCAGCAAACTCGACTTCCAACAGGATGTCCTAAAATTGAGCTCTTACAATGCTCAACAGCACACAAAATTAGGCGTTTGTGATACCGCTTACTTCGACTGTGTATTGTCCAGACGCAGCGATGAACGTTACTGTACCACATGAGGTAGGTGGGAGCATAACCTTGTGTTTGATTAGAAGATTTTCGTGCACTGTTCCAAGTACATCACCACCTAAATTGTTAAATACTGTCTATTTGACTATTAGAATGGCATATATGTTTTAATGAAAAAACTTTTTCAAAAAAAAAACACGAAGGTCGTGGTTCAAAGCCTGCAGCCGTAGCGTTCCTAATTTTGCGATACTGCGATATCATTTATGAAGAATGGGTAAGTACAAGAAATGATTGACTGATTGATGTCGGGCTAGTGGTTAGCTCCATCAATTGATGTAGAATCTACCGTAAGCAGTGATTTGACTGCACTTTCCCAAGCTAGATTGCTACAAATCGCAGCTTGACAAAATTAAAAAATTAAAAAGCTCATTCAAAAGAACTGACCAGTGACGTGAGATCCCACAACTATGTTCTTGTTTACTGAGAAATCCCAACGAGCTTCACGTGAGAGCGCTTTCGTTGATACTCCTAAAAAATGAAAAATTGAACTGAGTTGAAAGGAAAATTATTGAGGTAGGTGGTACGGCATTATGAAAATGATCACGTAAATGAAGGCAGTCCATAACAAATTAAAATTCAGCAATTTCAAAGATTGGACAATACAATGACAATGACAATTGGGTGGCCGCTTGAAGGAAATTCATGCCAAATACTCGCGTGATGAAGTATCAGCTTGATCCCCACCAATGGTAGCGACAGAAGGACCCTGACGTGTTGCAATTCCACTGAACTGTGGCAGTTCTATCCTATTATTCTGCGAATCTCACGATGCAACATATCAGTCAGCTGAAGATGAAGATTCGCGTTAATCCCGTGAACGTTATGCCTCAACTAGGACGAGCAAGACGCTTCATCATTACACCTACGGTTCTAGACTTGTTTTTTGCACGCGCTGAAGCTTGCCATCCTACGCATGTAAGACGTTAGTGTAATTAGCGTTACCTAAGACTTCATAAGAAAAAAAAAACGCTTGCAGCATCTCGGTATGCACTCTCGAGGAAATTCAGAAATTCGATCTACTTCAAGTCAAGAGCACGAAAAATTGCTGCACCTTCCAAGCCAGAGGATAGAACGGGCCTAATAGTACTGCCCGTTCTAGACGGTGAATTGATGGTATACAAAATCTCAAAGCTGCTCAATAACAGATCATTTAATAAAACTGGGCCTTTTCTCACAGATCCAATTCACTTAAAATACCTATCAGTTCTCTATACCTCAGCTTCTAGCTGGGTTTTACAGCAATAAAAAAATGAGGTTATAAACTGACCTTTGGGAATGTATATGGACTGTGTAATGTCAGCAATATCCTTGAGCGGACGTTGGATTCCGTCGAAAATAGAGCCCATAATTCCTGGACCAAGTTCCACAGAAAGCGGCTTTCCTGTACGTAGTACTGGATCACCGATTGTGACGGCCGCTGAAATGTCATTCAGTCATACATTCCATCATGGAACTTACAGAGGCAACAATGGCTCGAAGATCGAAGCGATTCCATTAGAAATGCACTAGATTTCGAAGCGTCTTTTGCCTATTCCATGCAGGATTTACCATATGATGCGCATGGTAGCGACCCTGCTGACATCACCCAAGAACATCGACAGGGGGATTCAATTTTAGTTGACTGGGCATAGACCAAGGCAGAATTTACAAGAGATTTGGGGCTCACTGAACGATGACTGACAGCTGAATGTCACCTTCAGTCTTCAAGTCCAACTCTAGAGATCTTTACGATGGACAAACACGAAACATTATTTTTTGGCAGGCACCCCTGCCATGCTTGGCGATAGCACTCAATTTGAACGCACGGTTGACAAAGCTAATAAATGCTCATCTGAGCAAAACTTACACGTCTCTTCGTAGACCTGAATCGTAGCGTAGTCGCCTTCGAGACGAATAATCTCTCCGACCAATTCACCATGACCCACTCGGACGAGCTCGTACATGGCAGATCCAGCCATTTTCTCGGCTGTCACCACTAAACAAAATATTCCACTAAATAGGCGAAAACGCACTGCGAAACAATAATGAAAGTATAATGAGAACTTGAAAATCCAGGTTCCCGTACTCCGAATACAGATAGGAGTTCATTTCCGACGCATTCGCGGTATCTGGGGCGCATCCTGAATGTGAATATTTGAGAAACTTCAAGGGCAACATTAAAATGAACAGGAGAAACAGGAAGGATATTCGTAGTGTGCATCATATCCAAAGGCAACAATTACGTCTTTCAAAAGGAATAGGACGATCTGTACGAGAAGTACCAAACAACATTACAAGGAGTAGAAGCAATAGCAATTGAAACTGACGACACTGATCCAAGTCCTCTGCAACCAAAAAGGAGCTGTAATGCTATATTTCCCGTTAGAGGAGCCTTAAATTTTCTCCTTTTCCTACCCGCAGTGCTACGAGAATGGTTTATTTGTAAAGAATACGTATGTCTGAAAGTGAAAACGCGTTTAGACTATAGTATATACATATGTCAAAACAAATAAAGCCGAAAGACCTCTTCGGTTGGTGTGAGAGTACTGGAGACCGATTTTTGCTCTCGGTTGATCTTGCGGCGCAGTATTTACGCCACGGCGCACCACCAACACGCGACGCACTTCCCCGTGCGCTCGCGCTTCTCGCCGGCTGCCTCGTTCACTTCTCCGTTCCCTGGGAGGGGCGGAACTCAGGTGAAAATATGGTCGCTCACGCACAAGGTGAAACAAGAGTTGCTTATGCTCCTGAGGTTTTCCTTCGAGCTTAGTTCTAAAATTGACCTGGGAAGTTTTGCTATGGCCGCGTTCATAGTTCGCGACTTGAGAGATTAGAATAGTAGGAGATAGGATATTAGGATAGTAGCAGGGTAAGATATGCTGACAAGGCTGGATACGTATCGACTGGAATCTACGGAGTAGTGGGTTAGGCGACACTACAGGCAAGTCGGTCAATACGTATCCAATCTTGTCAGCGTCCTACGGTAATCTCTGGAATCGCGAACTATAAACGCGGCCTAAGGTTTCCAATGAATCAAATGTTTCGCAAGCGCGATACCCCCGTTTTGCGCTGGTGCTTAAGCTCTTCCCCCAAAATACTCGTATAACTTCGTATAGAGCCGGTGATGGTGCTACACTGTTGGGGGCGGGGGAGAGGGGATCCACGCGACCCGCGGTTGTGTCCCGTTTCCTCCCGGGTTAGTCTGCGATGCCTATATTTCACTCTGATCAGCGGTACAGTTGAAAATGTAACGCCCATGGACTGAGACGTAAAAGTTGCAGACGATACAGCGTCGCAAAGCCGCGTGTCCCCCCCCCTCAACTAGTAGCACCATGAGTACTTCGGTGCTATAGTCCCTGCGGGGTACGGTTGTCATAATATGATACTGCTTCGCCCAAATACCGGAAAAGGGCGTGTAGGCATGTCTTGTTGCCTGGCGTAGCACAAATCTTAGCATCCTGGAATACGGGTGCTGAAATCTTTCCCTTCTTCTTATGTCTTAATCACAATATCAATGCAGTGAGTCACGAGCAGATAGGTGTTTTGATAAGATCAAAACATAGCCTAAGCCTTCAGCCCAGTAACAATCTGAGGGGTGGAGCCCGGGGATATGTGGACGAGGTTCAGATCGTCACTAGGGACAGGAGGCGGCGCCGCCGTCAAATAAGATGTACCGCCGCGGCAATGCACACACTGCGCTATAGCCCACGCGCAAAACGTGAAAAAATGGGTTAAAGGCTTGGAGCGTCTTGGCAAGTATGGGTATGATCTCTCGGAGACGGAGAAACATTGTGCGAGCCAGGTGGGGGCCGAACATACAAAGGAGTGCATGAAACACCTTAACTGTGACACATAGTAAAGTACAGTGCAGTGAAAGACAAGGTGAGGTCTACAACTTGCGATTGGAAACCTCAAGAAGAATATAGTGGCCACTCGCAGTCTTACTGAGGGGAAAGGTTGACTCCTGCGTAGACCGCCACCTTAGGATCCACTGGTGCACAGGGTATTACTGAACAGTGGGGTTAGGGCAGTCACTTGACAATTCTTGGGTAGTAACTGAGTCACTGATTACAACAAATCCAGAACACAACCAATCTGAGCAACACGAAATAGGGCGCTCATCCAGTAAGGGGGCATCAAGTGGCTGCCCTCACCCCCACCTAGACTGCCTACACTCCCCCTGGCGCACAGGTTTCTCGAAGTACGGGACCCCGTGAGCCAGGGGGAGTGAAGCCAGTTCAGGGGGGGGGGGGTGAGGGCAGTTATTAGACGCCCCCCCCTTACCGGATGAGCGCCCGAAATAACTCTCTTGACCTCTTGGAGCAAGAAAGTAACACAGGAGATAAGATACTGGCAAGGAAATGGAGTTGAAAAGACACCACGGCACAATCTCAGATGCACTGCCAGGCAACAAAATGACAATTGAGTCACAGAAGCCATCCAGTCATAATTCAGCAAGCGTACCGTGACTATGATCTAAACGCATTTCGCCACACAAATCGGTCGATACTGCACAATGTTCCTCCGTCTTCGAGATCATACCCAGGTGCATACAAGTAGGGTGGGCACGCCGAATTTTTTTGAACAAAATGTGTGTAAGTGGGAATGCTTTCCGCTACTACACTGTCACGAGAATCAGGGAATCTGTGAGCCAGGGGGTGCGGAGCCAATCTAGGGGGGTGAGGGCAGCATGTTGACATGCGTGAAAAGCTGAGCGTGCTCACCCCACTTGTATAGCACCCATACCCATATTTGCCAAAACGCTCCAAGCCTTTAACCCATTTTTTAACGTTTTGCGCGTAGGCTATAGCGCAGGTGTGCATTGCCGCGGCGGTACATATTATTTGACGGCGGCGCCGCCTCCTGTCCCTAGTGACGATCCGTTCACTTGTTTCGGAGGAACATGCAAAATACATTGGATTGAAGCCTCGACTCTGCGCCTCACGATAAACAGCGTCTAGCAACGACCTAGACGTTACGAAAATGAGGGGATGAAGATTTCAGGGAGGCTGTGAACCAGGGTTTGAGGATTTTGGGCAGGAGACGGATTCTGGGAGGGAGGGGGGGGACGAATTTCTAGGAGCGAATTTGAAAGCATTTCGTAACGTCCAGGCCATAGCTGTGCACCTTGCTTACCGGGTCGAGCAATACCGAGTGCATCACAGTTCGATTTGGCAACAAAATCTGGTGTTTTCCTAGAAAACCCTCAAATTTGGCGTGCAAACAGGTCTGGTGGACCATGTGGTTCAATCAAGTCGTCGGTAAGAAGCAGGTTTAGAAGTAAAAATCGCAATAGTCTGATTCAGGATATGCATATTTTGGTGTCACCGCGAACTTTTGAGATGTGAAGTGGGCACAGGTTATCGATTGCTGGCGCGCAAAATCAATAACTACACTGAACCTGCGCATCAATGAAACGATTTGTTGAAGTCAAATTCCAAACGGCTACCAGATAGAGTTGATACTCCACTTTCTGAAAAGGTATACCAATGTTCTGAGATGATCAAAACCTCGCTAGAATCAAATGATTTATTTTCACACTGATCACAAGAGAAAAGCAGTGTAATCAAAATTCTTCATTTATTGACCCACAAAAGTAGAGGTCTTCTCATTTGACAGTTATTCAACAATGAATATTGCACAAGATCACAAATGAATTGAGTGGCTTGAACCAAAGAAACAATGAAGTGATTTCAGGGTGAGGATTGGGCCATACACTTTGCAGTTCGAGTGTGGAGCAGGTACGTATCGATCGTCATATGATCGCAGGACGCACGGTCGCAAGATCGCACGATCAATACGTATTTACTCCACGTTCGAAGTGCAAAGTATGACCCGATCCTAAGTGATGAGCATTTCCAACCTATGTAAAGGCATGGCCATATCAGGGACTAGATTTCAAGAAAAATTAGTATTAAACAGTACCAATGAGGGTGTGTGTCAAAAGCACACATGGCGGGTTTGCGCATGTCGATCCGCTCAATTTCCAGTGCTATCGCAAGATAGGGGGCATTGTGGTGGTAATGGATTTAAAACCGTGTAATACACCTTCTTTGATAGGATCGAGACAAAGCTTTAGACAGGGACTCTAGAGTGCGTAGCTATTTTTTCTTTCCGAAGTTTCTGCTACGTCCTAGCCTAAGACCCGTAGTCATCCCCGTATGTTCCGATTCGCGCGTTTTCTGCTTGTCCTGCAGCTCTCTTGCCTAAAATATGAGTAGCGTGGGCAGCTCTAAAACTCAAACACGCGCCGCAATCGCAGCACACAGCTGCGACTCGCTCGATCGCAACGCCGTTCGCAATGTGATCTTTTGGCACATACCCTGCTAAGAGTCACTATTGTACAGTTAGTACTGGCTTGAATCACGTTGTTAATCGGCGCGCCCTATCGCTGGGCGGCTTCTGATGACATTCCTTTTCGGGGTTTTCCGTGAGATACTGTGGACAACAGCTGAGTACTGATGAAAGTGGACAGGCTTGATATGTTTCGCATCCTCGTATGGACGACGTCACATCGTTTATGCCTCGTGCTGGATCGCGATAGAAGGCCTGCGAAAGAACATGGTTATCGTAGAGTAGTAAATATGCCAAATACTATTTATATATGATATTTAGCCTTCGTCATGAATGAATATCGATCGGGAAACTTTCTACGACCAAATTAGTAGGATTATTCGGTTAAAAATGAAAGTATAAGAAGTGTGAAGTGGATCGCGCCAGCCAAGAAGAAAAAAGAAACGTTACTACGAGACGGTCCTTTATCTTTAGGTTGCCCGACAATTTCTCCCAGAGCGACGGTTCAAAAGAAACACTACGTGACGAGCGAAGAGAAGCACGGCGAATCGAGCAGAGAGAGCACAGCGGAGTCCAGCGAGAGCGCAGACATCCCCCCGCGTAAAGCTTACATCTGTGAGGCAACGGACGAGCGCGTCATGCAAAATCCTATGGGCTATCTCGCGCACGAGTTTTAAGCCAGGAACGACACATCCTATCAGCTGCGGAACGTTGAATAATAACCCGGGGAGCAATTCTCCCTAAACGTGGACTAGGGCTTTTGACTACGAGAATGAACGTGAAATGCTCGAAAATTCCATAGAAATTCCGGCGTGGTAGAGAGTGAATTCCCTACACAACGAGACA